ACCTGAGCGATGGGGCAATCAATTTTCGACAATTACATTCGCACACACTAATACTTAGATGGGATCAGGTATATAGGATGTACCTTTCACGATAAAAATAGGGTCGTTCGAAGGAACTTAAAACCGATCGTAAGTGACAACCTCCTCCCCCATTCCTCTCCTGTTCTCTCTTTTACACTTCCACAGCTCTCTCTCTCTCTCTCTCTCTCTCTCTCTCTCTCTCTCTCTCTCTCTCTCTCTCTCTCTCTCTCTCTCTCTCTCTCTCTCTCTCTCCCAGTGTTTCATTTTCTTTTTCTCTCCTTCTCTATGTCGCATCTATCGAACCTTTTCTATCGCTTTCCAACATTTTCGTTCCTCATTGTCGGTCGAATTTATGAGGAGACGACACATACGACAAATCTATTACAAATCGATAAGACGTATCAGGGTAAACTTATCGAGAAAAAGTATTGCTACCGAAAGGTTGTTGAACCTTCAACCTGTGACGTTAATAAAATGAAAAAAGAGAAGGAATTGCTTTTTCCCTTGTTATTTTTTCAACTTGTCTCACCCTCCACTATCAATTTTCTATTCGTTCCACTCCCTTTCCCATTACACTGTGTTTTTATTTAACAAATTTTGATTTTCATTATTGATTATTATATACTCTCCCTCTATCTGTCCGAAAATATGCTATACATTTTAGAAATCATTGAAGATTTACGAACGAAACGAACAATAATTGACGTGTTTTCAAAATTCTCTACTTCTCGAACATTCCTATTCGTATAACATTCCATACATTTTAATTACATTCCAGTCAAAGTCATTTGAATCATATTCGCGGTGAACTTTTAACGCGGAGAAGAAAAAATACTATCCATAAATTATTCAAACGAGGACAGTGATGTAGGTACTTTCTTAATGAACCGGACAAAAAAATGTCTCTTGACAATGACGAAATATTATGAAGGATTATTAACAAGATTATTAATGACAACGAATTGGAGAACGAATATTATGCTATATCATAACATTTCTCAATTACTTTTTACTGATACATTGATCAAAAAAAAAGTATAGTTAAGAAAAAAACAAGAAGCATTATTACTCTAATTGTATTTACAATTAATGAATTATAAAAACTAGATACCGAATGAGTAAAAAGTTATGAGAAGGTAAAAAAAACTGTGTGAGAGAGAGAGAGAGAGAGAGAGAGAGAGAATGGAAAAGAAAAGAGACAGGTAAATATTGCATTTTCCGTAAATCGGCTTTATGGATAAAGCTTCTGGTTCGAGCTTTAAAGGTGCCGAAGAGGGCACGTTCCACCCTCGTTATCTATTTTTGCTCATCCACCATCTCTCTTTTTCTCTGTCTTCTTTTGTCGTCAGTCGGCGAGAAACTTTTGAAAAACGTTGATAAAGTCGTCTAATCCCTTTCGATCCTCAATATCGAAAAAACCACTGAGGTACGGGCAAAACTGCAAATACTTAACGATCATAAAGAGCTTTATCATTCTCCAATTCGATCAACGAAATAATTGTTCTTAGTATCGCGGATTAATAATATAATCGCAGCACGGTAATATGATCAATGGAATAAAACATTTCTTTCAAATATTATATAAAACATTATTAATTAGTGAATTTCGATTATCGAGTAAATTATTTATGTATTTGTTCTTGTATCGGGAAACGAGAAATCGGTTAAAGCATTAAAATCGATTATCCAACTACGAATACCTTTCCTTTTTTAAGTTTTCTTATTAAAACTGTACTTGCCTTTCTTCGAACTTTGTCTCGCTTTTCAGAAATATCATCCTTTTCAATTGCATTTCAAATTTCAATAATTGTTTATAATATGAGGCTTTATCTTTCAACAATTTCTCTTCATTTTTTTTCATAATATTTTATTGGAAGAGAAAAAATTTAATGTTGTTTTTATAAGTATGGAAATGCTATAGAAATTGAGATATACCTATGCACATAGATATCTATATATATGGGTAAGAGCATTGAACTGTTCCATTTCGCGTAAAATTTTTGGCATATACATCGAGAGAAGAGCTTCCATTATTGGGGTATATATAAGTATGTATATACAATAAGCAGTTCGAGTATATTCTACATCACGGTATACGAAACTGAGTCGAAATTTCTACTACGTATCCCTATGCTTGGTTATAAAATAAATTTTCCTACCTGGTGAAAATAGAATCCAGAGTATTCATTGTAGTGATCTAGATAACATGACCAGTACTTTGGTCTCCTATGTCTACAAAGTTTCTTAACATTACTTTACTGTTTGTGTAAGTAATGCTAATTTAATGTTGCACCAACATTTATTTTCATTATTAAAATATACTTTAACGTTTATCGCGTTAGGAAAGATTATAGTCCAAATTTTAGAATTTATTTTATTATTCGATAAATGAAAAAAATCGTGTACTTTTTTTCAAGAAATTTGTTGTTTCTCGTGAAATTTATTAACATTGATTAATTCGTATCGTTCTCGATGTGAGAACCCCTGGAGACTTCAGTAACGTAACACATGTAACTAGGTTTGCCTTAATTTCTCTCTCTCTCTCTCTCTCGCACATATACGTGCACACATACACTTGCCCTCTTACCGACATTCCTTCTCCCACTCACTCATTACACACATCCATCAATTTATCAATTCCTTCGCTCGCGATTCCACCGACAAACACTCAATCGCATTAGTCAAAAGCACTCACGTTTGGAAGCTTTCGTGAAGGAGCTTCGTATATCTTACAAGTCTTGCTTGATTTACGAATACCAAAGTAAATCTTCATTTGTATCATTAATTTATGCACGCTTTCTTCCAAGAGCTTTTAAATATCAACACACTTATTTCAAATTATTATCTAATTACGAATAAAATACTTTGCTCATATTTCATTCCAGGATTTGATAGCAAATATTACTTGTCAAAAGATTTTTATCGCGTTACAGTCGCTTATTAGATATTCGATTTGTTCTAATCGATTTTCTAACAAAGACGATTTCGAAGACGAACGAGAAGTATCGTTGAAGTGTGTGCGAGAGAACAAGTGTATACCTCGTAGTTAGAAGCAAACATGGGGGAAGCCATTAACGTGTCCATTTACGTATTATTTGCGATATTTGCAGGGAGTAAAAGGAACAAAAAGAGAGAGAAAGAAAATCGATTGTCCTCTCACACATAATATGGTGTCGCGCACTTAAGCGGACATTCTTCTACGTTCGCCAAGCACATTTATCGGTTCATTGCGTGATCATCGTCGGCCATTAAAGCGAGCATAATGACATAGGGTATTATTCATTCAACAATTTTGTCGCTTCTGCTTGACCTTGCGGATCAACTTTACTGCACTTTAACGTTATTGCATTAGAATCTAATCTACGCGTCGAGGCAAACATTAATAAGAAAAAATAATGAAAAACACAGACGTCGAGTTTCAATATATCTAATTAATTGATCCGCGTTCGGATAGCACTCGAGCTACCGATTCGAGTCCATCAAGTAACATTTTCCTAATGGAGCTATTTCCTCGAACAAAAGGGGTTCCAATAGAGCTACGAATAAGTAACTAACTTTCCAAAACTACCTACGATCATCTGTTGGTTGTTCTAGTTGTTGTTATTGTTAGTTGTGGTCAGTGCCGTTAGCTCTCTGCCATTCACAGTTCGAAGTTGTCGAGTTACCAGTAGTGTCGTTGTCCAATCGGACGAATAGCGGCTTTCGAGACAGGAAGACCTTATTCCCTTTATACGATCATCAGGGGTTCGCAACTCGTATGCATTTCCGTGCCGAATCGTCTCGTGCCATGTGACCCACGTATTTGACCCACGTATTTGTCCCACGCATTTACCTCCCCCGATCCTCATCCATTCAAACGAAACTGAACATCGTCGAAAAACCAAACAAAAATCTCCTCGCTCGTTCGTCGATGCATGCACATACTCTGACTAACTAATACGAACGTTCACCAAAATCTATCCTACATTTGCTTTGTTCTGTTTTTGTTGATCGATCCTTTGTTAGAGAATGTTTGTCAACAGGTGTTGACAATGCTAGTGTATTACGAGTTGATCGATAACCCCTTCTCACGAATTAACTTATTCATTGATACTATTCAATGCCCGTATTATAATAGCCAAATTTGTAATATGTATATTCGTGTATGGATATGTGGGGATAGATAAATTTGTTTAAAAATATATATATATATATATAATAATATATTAAAATATTGTAAGTAAATATTTGTTAATTATAAATAATTGTATAAAACGTAGATTTATATTAATCAATTTTATTTATCATAGATACGCGAACGGAATTACGCGTATAGCTTGATAAATTATGATAAATTATGATAATTTTTGAGCTTTGTGAATTAGTATTGTTTTGGTTTAATATCGTCAAATAATTCTTCTCTCGAACGAATTATTATCGATAGGATTCACAACCATATTGTTAGATAGATATTTCTCATTATCGGCATTGTCTATCTCTCGGAATGTTGGTCATCGAATGGCCGAAATAATAGCGATAATAACGGAGATAACGTTTCGCGTTATCAATACAGAATCTGAAATAACCGAAATAATGACGATTCTATCGATAGCTTCAGCACATCTCTAATAGTTAAAATAATGAATATAGTAATCGTGATAATGTTTTCCTATTATCTTAAATATCTGCCAATTATTCGCGCAGAATTATTTCAACGCGAATAATCAAATTTAAATTCGAACCCTTGTGTAATAGATATCCGAGAAAAATTCATTTATTTAATAATCAGATTATAAACAGCTACAAAGAAAAATTAAAATTAATTGAATGTTTGTAAATTCCTTTGCATTCGTAACAATTCAATAAACAGTTATAGGATTAAATACGTTTAATGTTATATATATATATATATTTTGTAACAAATTTATGATCTCTTAAAAAATGTTGCATTATAAAATTTCGAAGGATTTTTCATTGTAAAAGATATATAAAGTACTTACCGTCCAAGTAGAAATGGCTGCTGCTGTTGTATAGATTCGTGACGATCGGTTTGATGTTGTTAAAAGTCATAGTCTTGAGGTCGTTATCTCTGAGATCGAGGAAATAGATACTCGGTGCACCGGATAGGAAGTCTGGTTCTAAGCTGACTAATTTATTTTCGCTTAGGCGTAGTTTCTTTAATTTTCTCAAACCGTCCAATGCTTTTTCCGAAATATATTCGATCGAATTTTGATCGAGTTCGAGTTCGGTCAATTCTGGGATTTCAACGAAACTATTATCACCGATCATCGATATTTCATTATTTCGAAGATCAAGACGTTTAAGATTTCTCAGACCGTGGAAACTCTCGCGCGTGATCACTGATATCTCATTCGAACTCAGCTGGAGCTCCTGGAGATTGATTAGATGCTTGAATGCTTTATCATGGACGGTCGTGATGTTGTTGTTGTTTAGATAAAGTGTTCCTAGGTTTGGTAAATTCACGAACACATCTCTGCAAACAGAATTATATCGTGCAATTAGATTAAAAAACTTTGTTTAAACATAATCCTTCGATTAATTATTATATTTAAATATGTAGATTTTGTTGTGAAGATTAACTATTCATTTGCGATCATAAATGTCACTTAATTGTAGCCCCGAGATCAACATTTCTGGTTTACCTATTAATTAGACCAACGGTGAACCTTTCGTACGTTGAACATTTTTGTTACTCCTTGTATTGGGGTGAACACGCACGCTTTGGAAAACGTACACGTTAGTACTACATCACGGCCGATAAACCATGCATATATTCAAGATAACACTTTTTGTTCGCGTACGTACTCGATATATCGAGCTTTTCGATATCGAATAAGTTTACTTTTCTTTTATTTTTACTAAACATTCGATACGTAGGAAAAAAGAGAAAAAGAGAGGGAAAGAGATAAAAAGAGTTCTAAGTTTCGTTGATATTAAAAACAATACTCCTATATCAAACTACGCACTAAAGTACTATATCAAAGCCGATAAACCTTGTATATATTCAAGACAACACTTTCCCTCTATACGAATACTCGTTATATGAAACTTTTCAATATAAAATAAATGTTTTGATTGTTTCTGTTTTTGTATCAAACGTTCGATATTTAAAACCGAGAAAGAAAGGTGCATACTACAAATTATTTATTGTATAATAGAAAAAGAAAATAGAAAATACCAAGAAGTAGAAAAATGTCGAAGCAGTGTTAACAAATATATAATTTACATTTACATTAAATAATGAATGAGGGTGATGTAGAACTAAAGATTTTAGAAATAAATAAAAATCGTATTAGGGAGCCATAGACAGATGAAGAGAGAAAGGAAGGAGAGAATAGTTTTCAGGCTTGCATATTTAATCTCCCCGTCGAAGTATTGCATCTGAATATTTACGACTTGAAAGCGATGCAGAGACATCCTCGGCAGATATTACGTGCTGCCGTAGGCACCTACGCTTTGATGTAATCGAAAAGACGTCATTGTGAAATACGAACACATCTACCTGCCAGGAAAATCAAACGAAACAGGGAGAGAGAGAGAGAGAGAGAGAGAGAGAAACAGATATAGAGAGAATAAGAATTAGACAAAAAGGGATAGAATAATAATAGGAAGATATAAATTAGATAAAGATAACCCAGATTAGAATCTGAACAAAAACTAAGAGCAAAAAAGGGAAAGAGAGAGAGAGAGAGAGAGAGAGAGAAAGATATATTGAACGATCGTGTACTCTCGCATAGTTGAAATGAACGCGTGCATCTGTCAAAAAAATTGAAACGTCTAGGAGTATTAGTGTGTCAAAAGAACGGGGGAGAGGGGTGAAAGATGCGTATGCATTTGTCATATCTCTTTGGAAAACGTTTTCTATTTCACTGTCGCGAATCATGTTTTTGGTTTCATCTTGTACGATAGAGATACTCGTAATATCATCGTCATTTCGGATCACACCATCTCTTTCCCTCGTTCTTCAACGCGTCACATTTGATAGAAGAGTAAAAGAGGATGATAGTGAATCGATTGAAACGTATGATGGATGTTCGGGGAAAATATCGAACTATTTAAATCGACTCCGCCCGTGTTTGTGCATCATTTCTCTCTCTCTCTCTCTCCCTCTGTTCTTGTTTCGATAGAAGGGGTAGTAGATCGATGACTATATCAACGAGTTAAGGAAACTTTTATTCCCATCAATTTCATCGAGTGACGATGTCTCGACCCTTGTTGGCAACCACGTCACACCTTCCCCCTCTTTCCCTTTTTCTCCTTTTTTCTTTTTTTTTCTTTTTTCTTTTTTTTTTTTTAATAAAGAAGACTGATCAGCCTCTTCCGTAGGGAAAACAAATGAAAGCACGAATCCCTTAAGCCCTTGAGTGCTGCTCTTCGGAAATTGTGTGTCACCCTTGGGGTGTAAAAAATACGTGGTGGCTCCTCTCGTTTCGTGCGAACCACTGCTAGCAATGAATAACTAACTCTTGTGTTTCTCTAACACATATGCATATATATATAGGAAATGCATGTATTCACCTACAAATACTGTAGGCTTTTACCGAGAGTTAAAATGACTTCGCATATATTTCATACACATTCTATTTACCATATTAACGACAGCACTTTTTAACGTTTCCTTTTTTATATCGTCAATACTTTTTTTCATATACCTTCGTTTTCTCTTTACTCTTACTTCTTGTATTTTTTTATCGATCAAATTTAAAAAATGAATTACAATGAAAAATCTTCGATTTCGATACGTAACACCAGTTACAGAACAATCATATATATTTCGTTATCGAATTAATGAACAATAAGAAAGACAAAACTCACCTATTAATTTCAGTTATCCTGTTGTCGTCCAAATTGATGACATTCAATTCCTTCATATTTTCAAAAGCATATTTTTTCAGAACGGCGATCGTGTTCTTGCTGAGATTGATCTCAGTAACTTCTGATAGATTGGAGAAAGATCGTTCGGCAAGTTCGTTCAGTTTAGCATATTCGAATGTAACACTCTTGAGATTTTTAAATTGTTTTAGAACATTGGTTGGTACGTAATCGAGAGCACCGGATGCGCGAACCGTGAACATTAATTTCGTAAGATGAATCTGAGATACGAAATAGGTCCACATAGGGTCATCTACCTTGAACTTGTTCAACACCAAACAATTCGCAGTAGTTGCATTCCTTAATTTGTTGCTATCGCAGTAACAAAATATTGGTGCTTCTTGGCCTTGGATGTCGCAGACGTTTACTTCCTTCGTTTCTTTCGTTACCTTCTTCTTACTGCGTGATCTCGTAGATGCAGCTAAACTGGCAGCAATTAGAAGAGCATAGAGGCCGACTCGTAGCAGAAAATTGTTAGATATTATCGATGTTCGTTTCATCCTGTTCGTTTCTGAAAATAAAATATATATATTTGTCGTTAGATCAGATGAAAAAAAAAAGAAAAGACAGTGGGAAGATATTTTATCATTGATTAATCGTAAATAAACGTTTTTCCACATCTAATCGATCTTATTAACAAACGGTATAAGTTTTGTTCTGTTTTTTCGGACACCCCCTTTTTCGTGTTACGTATATCCTAGCAGTTTCTATTTACTCATTCTCTATACCTATTATGTAAGCGGTGAAAGAGTGCAGAACTGCAGAGAATTTCCTTGGAAAGTTGAACAATGACTGATCGTTTTCAGAAGCAAAAGACTGTTTCTCTCGGCACGTCTTGTTATCGTTTACAAGAGGAGTATGTGTATGTAATATCTGCACGTCCGTTCTTCCACTACCTGTAACAATCGAACGAACCCTACATCCTTTTAAGATTTATGATACTTCGTACCACATAGATGAAATATCGCCATTATTTTAACGATTTCAATTCGATGTAGAAGAATTTTGATGATAAATATATCTATATCGACTCGGCAAATTTAATATACATTTTTCACGATCAAAATCATTTTTCTTTATTCTCGCTAGTTTGAGTTTTATTTATTATTCATTATTTTACGAGAATGCAGGGTGGTTCGTAATACGCGCGTATATAATGTAATACGATAATAAACATTTTTTTGTTGAGAAAATTCCTAATGGTTTAACGTCAAGTTTAAATTCTTCATAATGCACGCATAATAATTATGTAATTTTGTACTAATTGAATGCACTGCTTGATTCGTTTTAATTTACCCTTAATAATATATCAAAATGTTATTGTGTAGATAATAATTTCTATTCATTTCTACGAAATATTATTGAAATTATACTAAAATAACTCGTAATAATCAAATAGAACTGTTCGATTAAATTTAAAAATGATCCGATAATTGAGTAAAACAATACAATACATTAATGTAACAATTAACGATACGTTTGTTCGAAAAATATGTGTGAAAAATGATTAATTTTAAATAAATAAGGAAAATAAGATAAACCAGACACAACAAAGTTTCGAATCATTAAACATATTCAACTGGATTCAATTAGTCTATTAATTGTAATTTGTAAGCCGATACAACATCCGCACGATTAAATTGGAAATGAAGATGACAATTCTCGCTAATCCGAAGAGTTTCGATGTTCACTTTCTCTCTCTTTCTATTTAGTTCACTCTTACTGTCATTATCACTTTCACTCTTCTCTTTGTTTCTCTCTCATTTATGGTTCGTTTACGAGTTTATGGTATTGACAAGAAGTAATCCTCAACTTCGTAAACCGTTTTACTTCGATACGAGTGTATCCTCTATTAGTACAAATACGTATATAGGTATATACTAAGTACATAAGTATGTGGATAGTGTATACCGTGTGTCGCCCCCCCCCCCTTTACGGCGTCAAATACAGAACGATTAAAGTTCAATCGAGTTATATAATTCGATGGCGAATCGAATAAAAGTTGTCCATCTAGTTTACCACTTTTGTTTAATCCGATAGAAAATTATTAATGGTTCATTTATTTTCTGTTAAGTGCTTAGTTATGAGAAAGAGAGAGAAGAGATACAGATAGATGAAAAAAAATAAAGGAAGATTTATTAACAAATAAACAGAAAGAAATAGAAAGAGTTTAGGATAGTTTGCAGCTTTGGTGCATCTTGTGCATAGGTCCTTTCACAACTCTCTTTCTCTCTCTAGTTTCCTTCTACCTTATTTTTTTCTTTAAATATTTTTCCAAGCTCCTTCTCAGCCCTTTTTCTTTCTTTTTTTTGGCCTATCGAGTTTATCAGCTTTCCCTCTCTCTCTCTCTCTCTCTTTCTTTCTCTCTCTTTCTTTCTCTTCCGGATTTCCTTTTTCTTTAGCTAAAGGATGGGGAGGGAGTGTTTGAGACTTTTTCTGGGCCGATGGAGCACGATCAAGATTTCCAAGTTCATCGTCCATGGTTTTCTCTTTCGATCGTTCCTTCCCTTCCTCCTTCCCTTCCTCCTTCCCTTCCTCCTTCTTTCCCACTTTTCTTTCTCTTCCTTTTTGAGATGGAAGAAAACTTGCAAGCCCTTTCGGAATTCTCTGCGAATTATTTACGCTTGAAACGAGCTTACTCTCTGCTTTGAATCCATTGAAACTTGTTCATCGTGTATATATATATATATATCCAATCTATCTCTTCTTTTCTTTCTTTCTTTCTTTCGTTCCACTCCAAATAATCCTCTCCCTTCTACTAAAACTACTACTACTACTATTGTACAAACTTTTATTATTAGTAATAATACCATTATTACTTACGTCAGGTTAATCAAATTTTCGCAATCCTGCGATATACACAAGAGTATTTATTAAACTGCTAAACGTACAAACCTTTCGGGTTATTTATTTTATCCGCTCACAAATCTGAATATCAATTTATTTTTTAATGAATAAATCATATTTTATATGAATTTCATACTGCTTTCTCCGGTTATTTTTTAGATTCCAAATGTACAAGTTTTTCAATCTTTCTTTCTCTCTCTCTCTCTCTCTCTCTGTCATTCCTTCTACTCTATACCATCGTCTTTTTATAGGTATACGTGAATACAACTGGGAAAGGTTGATCGTTAGTTTTGTTAATTGGATCGTCCGATGATACTACTCGATATCGATTATCGAAACGTGCCACCGCATTTGGTATCCTTTCATAACTCGATTCTATACGCGTCGACAAACGTGGTATCCATTTCATTTAATTATAACACGGTTATATCTGATTCATATTTCATTCTTGTCTGATCGTATATGAAAGAGAAAGGGAGATGATAGAATAAAACGAGATTATTATAAAAATTAAGAAAAAGTATAGAAGAAGTACAAACGTATTGTATTTGTACACGCGTAGAATAAAAAAAATCAATGAATATATATCGTAACGGAAAATCATTTAAAATGATAATAAATTCGAGTTGATTAACAATCATGATCTGTCCCATTTGTCGAACATCCTTAGATCCGAAAATTGCTGAGAGGCAATGGATCGAATAATTACGTACGTTAATTGTACATGAAACGAACCGCTCAGGATGTCAGTAACACGCAAAGGCCGCCGGCATGTGACGAATCAAGGGTCTACAACATGCACAATATGTACAGTACATGGTGAGAGACTTTGAAGGTTCCAAATTATTCCCTGTTCATTGTCAGCGAATTTCAGTAACTATCATGCTAATGAAATTATTTTCCGGATCCATGCATGTGTGTCTATTACACAAGTTAACCTAATCGAATCTTTTTCCCTAGTCATACATTATATATAACACATATTCTTTTTTTATAATCATAAATCCTATGAAATTCTCTTATCTATCTATTTTTACAAACATTCTGTATACTTTCAGTGTCTCTCAATTAAATAAAAGAAGGTAAGAAAAATTAGAGAAAGAAGACGTTTTCTTAATATTGGCTCGTAAAAAATTCAAACTCTCTCTTGCATTTTATAAAGCTCACTGAAAGCTCTTTCTCTCATTCTTCTTTTTATCATCTTTTTCTCTTTCTTTTCTTTTCTTTTCTTTCTTTCTTTCTTTCTTTCTTTCCCTCTGTCCGTCGTACTTTAATTCATTTGCATTTTCTATCGTAACTCGTGGTATACCTCTCCTAACCATTTTCCCCATTTTCTTCAATATTCAGTCGACTTTTCAATTAAGTTTATTCGACTTTGTTCGACTTCAAAGATCGGGAGTAAATATATCTTTTAATGTAAAAATAATGTTGCGTTATGTCAAATGTTTCCTTATGCGCGTGTAATAAGTATAAACGTGTATAAGAAAAAAGGAAAAGAAGAAAAAAAATATTAATTCCACGCGGATTTCTCGTACTGTATAAACGAGTTGAATGAATTGGTAAAATGATAAAAAGGAAGGTAGACAATTTTATTGAATAAGGAATAAAAAGATATGAAACAAAAGGAGAAAGAGAGAGAAATGAAACGAAGAATGGAAGATTCATTGATTTTTTTGTTTCATAGATTATTAAATAGATAAATATTTAATTGTATATATTATTTATAAAACTCTTTCAACCTGTGCAAGCTCCTTAATATAATGCTCTTAAATAGAAAGATAAATAATTGCATAGATTAAATGATAAATAGATGGATAGATAATTAGGTGGAATGATAAGTAAATACGTTACTGGATAGATAGCTGCATAGACAAATAAACGAATGTCTAAATAAAAAAATGGATGCATAAAATATTAAACAGATAAAGAGATAATTAAATGATAATGAAATAATCATACCATAGATTGATAGAAACTAAAATTTATCCTTATGAATAAAAATTCGAATTTTTCAACGAAATTACAAATATTTGTAAATTGATGGAAAAATAGATATAAATGAATAGATGGATAAACAGATTGAGGAAAAATAAGGAAAAGAAGATAAAGATTGGGAAACATTGAAAAATAAAGAAGATTTGATCATAAAGGGAAAGACATTTTACGTCGAGAAACTGAATATAATTGCATTCTTTGAATCTCGTCGTCGTCGTCGTCGTCGTCTACCACCGACTACAACGGAAACAAAATGTAAACCGCGTTTCCTTTTAAATATGAATTGCAAGAAAAAGCTTGGATTCGCGCGAGAGAACCGCATTCTCCAACCGCACGCACGCATGCGCATATTTATTTTCCTCTGTGCATGCATAATGCGAAACTTTAACCAACGAGAAAGGAGAGAGAGAGAGAGAGAGAGAGTGGAAAACAGATAGAAATATTCTACCAAGTGAGTCGTTTCACCGTTCGTATCTTTCATTTGATTGGTTTTTCTTTTTCTTTAAGATAGCAAAAGATGATTAAAGAAGACTATATTTTCGTTGGTAGGATATATTTTAATTGTAATTTTGTTTAATAGAACGTTTCTAATGGAACTTCAAAGAATATCTTTGGTCTCGTTTCCACTTGTAGATCATGTGCTTTCACAGTTTGGTTAACTTTTTAGTA